TTAAAACAAAGTGGAGGAAGGCCTGGCTCCTTAGTTTTGTATTGTCCCCTATAAATGGCCTTCTCTTATTGCATCCCTGTGGTGGCATTCATTGGCTCCAGCATGATTTTTTTCAAGTTTAACTGTTTGAGTACAAAATAAATGGTGTGTACTTCCTTCACTTATGGTCAGTATTCTTTGTGATGAACCATTATAAAAAGGTTTGCAAAATGCTGACACTCATCTCTTCTTCATAGAGAAAAGCCTTCCCTCCTTCAGAATGTTTCCTTCCTATTCTCCAAATGCGAACAATGAATTTTTTTTTAAATGTCATTATGAACTAATGAATTTCAACAAATTTAATGGTTTTAATCTTAGTGGTGCTCAAAATGGCTCCTGAGTCCTTTAACATAACTGTAACATCCTTGGTTTCTGCTATAAGATGAATGAGGTCTATCCTGTACATTTCTGGTCCAAACCTGAAATCAGCTATTTCTCCAAGGAGCCCTGATTCTTCTAGTGGGAAATGATACCTAGAAACCATAATCTGGGCACTAAGAGTAGTGATCACTACTAGGCTGATTAGTGGTTATGAATTTTTGTGGACATTGCTAGGAAATAAGCATATTTTCTAAAGAGAAACAGATCATGAGATCATACTGATGTTTTCAAATTTAGGATGACTGAGATTTTACTAAACAGCTGTATTTTTATATCTCTTGTCACTCATGCTAAAAATTTCAGTTCCTATTGCTAAAAAAGGAACAGGCTCAAAATGATGTCAATTGCCCCCAACCCTGCAAACCAAGACTTAACTGTAGTTTTCAGTTAAGTCACGCCCAGGAATATGACCATCACCCAGGTAATGTGGAATTACCTTATCAGTGACAGTAATAGTAAACTCCAAGACAGACCTCTGCCCCTCCCCTACAGAAAGATGACCTTGTTGGAAAGAGTCCTTTTTGTTTATGCCCTTCCTTGTCCCATTCCCTTACAGCCTTTAAAAAAAACCTTCTATGTTGTAGAGTTCCTTGAAGCTCCTTTCTATTTGCTAAAGGGGTACTGTCCCCATTCATGATCACTGGACAAACAAACCCAGTAAGATCTTCAAATTTATTCTGTTGAATTTTTTTTTTAACACTATTGGCAATTATTATTTGCTCTTCATTAAATAACATAATAGCTTCATTCCAATATTAGAGGATGCATTTCTCACAAGGCATGCATGATTTTTTTTAAGTTTATTTACTTTGAGAGAGAGCAAGAGAGCACGCAGAGCCTAATGTGGGACTGGATCTCATGAACCGTGAAATCATGACCTGAGCCATTATCAAGAGTCAGACTCTTAACTGACTGAGCCACCCAGGCACCCTGATTTTCTGTTTTAAAAGTCACCACTCTGTGTATTTATCCTTACAACCAGTTACATAGTGAGGTGAGATTCATTTCATTTCGCTTTTTGTAAAGGGAATTTTCATTTAATTTTGTTTTCTGATCATAAACAGTATTTTTAAGTCTCCAAAGACAAATTGGTAAAATAAAGTACACTTAGGTAGCCTTCTTTGTCCCCAACCCTTAAAGAAGTGTCCTCTAAAACAGCGTAAGTATATTTTATTTCTTTTTTCAAAATTTATTTATTTTTGAGAAAGAGAGAGAGAGAGAGAGAGCGCGCACACGTGTGTGCATGGAGGAGGGGCCGAGAGGAGAGACAGGATCTGAAGGCTCCACACTGACAGCAGGGAGCTGGATGCAGGGCTTGAACTCAAACTGTGAGATCAGGACCTGAGCCAAAGTCAGACACTTAACCGACTGAATCACCCAGGCACCTCTCTTGTTTCTTCTGAAAGTATAGCTTTAATATGGGAAAAAAAACATTTTTTTCTAAAACACTAAGGAAGTCAATTTAGGGGAGATATTCAAAGTTTAGTATTCCCAAATTTCTTTGCATACCCATAACAAATGGGAACTTAACCATGCCTTTACTTTAACTATCCTTATTTACCCAGCTTTAGCCTGGTTACTCTGAGCTCTCTTTTAGTCCTTGGGCCTGCTGAGTCCAGTTGTAGCAAGAATCCTGACAAGTCTGTTTTTAGAGAAGACCTCACCCTCTGTATGTGATCCAATTCCTGACCTCCACCTTTGGTATCTGATCCTCATGGGCTGCTTTTCAGGAAGAATCCTGTTAAGTCAGTTTAGCAGGAATCCCCTGCCCTTGACGTCTCCTCTTAGTACACTATCCACTGACACCTCCTCCCATTCGTCTTGTTGGCTAAGTATCCGCAGCTGTCTGCTGTATTAGGCTTGGAGCCCAGTCTCTCTCCCCTACTCAGTCTTGACACCTATCGCAACAGACCTAAATAAAGTCTTCCTTATGATTTTAACAAGTATCAGAATAATTTTTCTTTAACAACTAAACCTCCAAGGAGAGTATACTAATTCACCATGTAAATTTCCCTTAGCAGACTTTACTAAAACCAGCATATCAGATTCCATCTCAAATCAATCGAGAAAAGATAGATTATCTTGAAAACTAAGCTGTACCTTTACATCAATACTTTATATAAAAGTAATCATATCAATTTTCTATCTTATACTGCGAATTTAAATTCAAAAGATAAAACCATAAAAATAAGACAAGAGTTGTTTAAAAAAATAATCTTGGGGGCGCCTGGGTGGCGCAGTCAGTTAAGCGTCCGACTTCAGCCAGGTCACGATCTCACGGTCTGGGAGTTTGAGCCCCGCGTCAGGCTCTGGGCTGATGGCTCGGAGCCTGGAGCCTGGAGCCTGTTTCCGATTCTGTGTCTCCCTCTCTCTCTGCCCCTCCCCCGTTCATGCTCTGTCTCTCTCTGTCCCAAAAATAAAAAACGTTGAAAAAAAAAATTAAAAAAAAAAAAAAAATCTTGGACTAGCAAACTTCAAAACATCATTAAAAATAAAGAAACTTATGAAAATGGAACACCTTTATAACACAAAAGAAAACTGGCAAAATACAGATAGCTGGCAGAAAAATAAAAACAGCCAATGTACAAGGAGGCAGTCTCACTAAAGAGGTACAGTGATTTTATTTTTAATTATTTATTTATTTAAAGTAGGATCCATGTCCAAAGTGGGGCTTGAAGTCACAACCCTGAGAGTAAGAGCTGCATGCCAACCAGGCACCCCAAGAACAATAATTTTTATTTGACCATCAAAGATTTAAGAAACATCAGGGTTTGCGGGAAAGAGATAAGACAGGCTCTTTGGAGGGCAGTATCCACTAAAATTACCAACACAAACAGACCTTTTACACAGCAATTTCATACACAGCAATTATCCTACAAAAATACTCATATTTGCAAAAGACTATTATCACTGTTTTTTTAACAGCCAAAAGCTGGGAATAACCAGTGACCATCCACAGAAAACTGATTAAACGGTAATATAGTCGTCATTATAAAGAGAGGCAGTTATGTGAAAAGATGGCCCTTATCAATTTGCAGCTTGAACTAGTTCTAGTTTTTGTACAACAAACCCATACACACACCAACCAAACTGGTGTATGGTACAGGTGTGTTCACAAAGGTATAAACAGACACACACCAAACAAATTCAGCGTAAAAATTATTACAAATACCCAACAGTACAAATGTCCAGGCCATGTAGATGGAGCTGTTTTCCTTTGTCATTTAACTCCTCCACAATAAAAATGAGGTGGTTTAGAGTTTGGTTAGTTGAACTGTAGTATAAAAAAGAAGATACTCATTTGCTGCCAGGCCTACCATTACCACCAGAAAAATTTAAGGTGACTCACTCACCTATTGAATCAGTAGTCTCTCTTCCTACCATTCATGAAAAAAATTTGTTTTATGAATAAAATTAGGACATAATGTTCTCAAGTTGAGAACAGATTAAAATGTTCTACTAAAATCCTGAAGTCCAATGGATAAACTTCACTATAAAGAATATCATGTTCCAAAGCAGCAAATTAACCATTATTTTTTTTTTTTTATTTTTTTTTTTTTCAACGTTTATTTATTTTTGGGACAGAGAGAGACAGAGCATGAACGGGGGAAGGGCAGAGAGAGAGGGAGACACAGAATCGGAAACAGGCTCCAGGCTCCGAGCCATCAGCCCAGAGCCTGACGCGGGGCTCGAACTCACGGACCGCGAGATCGTGACCTGGCTGAAGTCGGACGCTTAACCGACTGCGCCACCCAGGCGCCCCTTAACCATTATTAATTACCAGCATAGGATAACAATTCATTTGGAATAGACTACTTTTATATGCCAGTGAGATAAAAATCTCTTAGATATAATTTTTCAAGTTTTTATTTATTTAAGTAATCTCTACTCCCAATGTGGGGTAGAACGCACATCCTTGAGATCAAGAGTCACATGCTCTTCTGACCGAACCAGGCAGGCACCCCCAAATATCTTAGATATTTTACTTTGCAGGGATTTTCTCTATGAACAACATCCTGTTTGTGGAACGAAAACCTTTTCAGTTACAAATAAAGCCTCTAAGTTTGGAAGAGTACTCCCCCTCCAACACTTTTTTAAAAAAGTATTTATATATTTAAGTAACCTTTGTACCCACTATGGGGCTCAAACTCATGACCCCCAAGATCCAGAGTCACAGGCTCTACCAACTGAGCCAGGCCATCTCCACAAGAGTACTTTCTTCTTAGTTCATCTCAAGAAACAACATCTACATTTCTTTATCAGCAACTGCTCTATAGGTAAGTTTGCCTGAATCATACCAACTCACTTCAACTTTAAAATTTTCAACTTTAATATTTTCTTAAAAGCATTATTTTTCTTTCTAGATATGACTTTTAAAAGAACACATGTGTACACTGTCTTAATGTTCTAACTACCATATGTGTAGTTATAGAAACACGAAGATTCACACAACCTTAAAGTTTGCGAATGTTCATCTGGGACCAAAGGGGGTATACACCAAAGGGGTGTATAGACTTATACACAGTATAAATTGGTTAAACGATTTCAATTTTCTGATGTTGAGAATACATTGCAGTTTAAAAAAAATGTAACTACTAGAGAAAATTGAGTGAAGAGTATGTGAGACCTCTTTGAACTATCTTTGTAACTTCCTGTGCATCATTATTATTTTGAAATAAAAAGTTTGGGGAAAAACGTGCCCATGAAATTTAGGGGCTTTCTTCGGGTAATGCTAATTATTATCATTTGCTTTCTGGTCACACTACAGAACAGACTGACATACAGTGATTTGGGTTTTCCTTAAGATACGAAGTAAGAAAGGTGTTTTATGGTCTATTTGTAGCATAAATATGTGCATTTCTTTGCCAATTTATTCATCCCTCCTGCTGATAACAACAGTTTGATTAACTTTGGAAAAGCATCCTTTTCTGTCATTCTGGTAGGTCTGTCAATCAAGGGATCATACAGCCTAGCCAAAGTGTAGCAAGAGACCCAAGCCCAGCCAATGAGACTTTTTCTGGACATCTGAAATCTTTTTTTTTTTTTAAATTTTTTTTTAAATGTTTATTTTTGAAGGAGAGAGAAACAGAGTGTGAGTGGGGGAGGGGCAGAGAGAGAAGGAGACACAGAATCTGAAGCAGGCTCCAGGCTCCGAGCTGTCAGCACAGAGCCCGACGTGGGGCTTGAACTCACAAACCGTGAGATCATGACCTGAGCTGAAGTTAGACGCTCAACTGACTGAGCCACCTAGGTGCTCCTGGACATCTGAAATCTTGAAGAGAGAAATGCAAGGAGACAGCATCTTGAGGAGGCTGTTAAATTCTGTTACCTAGGTCCCCAGATACTGAACTGCCTAGATATTTCTAAGTGATCTATTAATTTCTGACTGAGCCACCCAGTCACCCCAATGGCATGTAACTTTGTACAATATCTGTAAATTTTTCTCTAAGTTTGGTATATGCAAAACTATTATTGTACAGTGGTGAGGTTTGATGAGCCCTTAGTGAAGTCTGAAATAAGATATGTAATACATCCTCTCTTCCTCCCTGATTGTAGTCATCAGAACTCTTTATTATTCCAAACTAAAATGCGGTTAGGGGCGCCTGGGTGGCTTAGTCAGTTAAGCGTCTGACTTCAGCTCAGGTCATGATCTTACAGCTCATAAGTTCTGTGAGTTCACTTGAACTCACAACATTGGGGTCTGTGCTGACAGCTCAGAGCCTGGAGCCTGCTTTGGATTCTGTGTCTCCCTCTCGCTCTGTCCCTCCCTTGATCTCTCTCACAAAAATAAATACTAAAAAAAAATTAAAAATAAACAAAATAAAAAGCACTTAAAGATTATTAACAAAAATAATCTACAATAATTACAATATATACAAGTATCTGACACTGTGCTCTCTGCTTTACAGGCATTGTCTCATTTCATCCTTGCAACCACTCTGTGAGGGATATTGGTATTATCCCTCACTTTATATATAAGGAGTCAGTCTTACAAGTTCAGTAGCCTGTGCAAGATCACAAAATTGCACCTCTCACAAACAGGATTTTAAAGTAGGTCTCTTTTTTTAAGTCTAAAGCCAATGTTGTGTAAACTATTCCTGTTTGAAAATCCTCCTCCTTTAACCTTTAGCGGTTATGCAGACTCTTCAACTAGAATAGGCAAATAATAGAAACTTCCACTTTGATATAGATTTCAAGGTTTTTTGTTTTTTGAATTGCTACACAACTGTTTTTTGTGGGATGAGATATATAACACTTCATTTAGAATCTAAGAAGCATCTCAAGTATGTCCAAAACAGAATTTCTGATCTCATCTCCTACCATTTCTGAGTGCCTCCCACAGTTTAATAAGCAACAATGTGCTTTCAGACTCCTTTCTTTATCTTCACTCTACAAAGCTGAGGTGCATGCAAACTGACTGCTCATTTGTGTGCTATATAGTGTCTTTGTACCCCAGACCCCACTCACCATGATGACCTAAAGCAGATTCTCAATCTCAACATCTGAAGATGCAGGTGAAATGTTAGGCCTGTCACAAGCAATTCATACAATACAGCTTTCTGATGATTTCAGTTTTATAAATGTCACATGGATTCAAAATATCCTTCTATCAAACCTCACTCTCATACACCTCCTTACTGATTTTTTTTTTTTTTTTTTAAATTCTACCCCTAACATGGGACTGAAACTCCCAACCCTGAGATCAAGAGTAACATGCCCTTCCAAATGAGCCAGCCAGGCTCTGCTCTCCTTCCTCCCTCCCCGTTTCCCTCCCTCCCTCCCTCCCTCCCTTCCTTCCTTTCTTTCTTTCTTTTTTTTTTTTTTAATTTTTTTTTTTTAACGTTTATTTATTTTTGAGACAGAGAGAGACAGAGCATGAATGGGGGAGGGTCAGAGAGAGAGGGAGACACAGAATCCGAAACAGGCTCCAGGCTCTGAGCCATCAGCCCAGAGCCCGACGCGGGGCTCGAACTCATCACAGACCGCGATGATCGTGACCTGAGCTGAAGTCAGACGCTTAACCGACTGAGCCACCCAGGCGCCCCTCTTTCTTTCTTTCTAAGTGAAAGAAAGGGGTAGAACTCCAACTATCCCCAAGTTCACCGCACATTACGCATGTAAGAACCTATGAGATCATGTTCTATATCCACTGCTTATGTGGCAGTGGAGAAAAGTTTAAGCACCACTGACCTAAAGAAAAACCCTATGTACCCCAATGACTTACAAGTAACATGGACCTATATACACTAATAGCTACTGTCCATTCTTCTATCCCAGAAGATCCCAGAGGTGCTCATGGGCTTTAGGCCCTACACAGAATTCTTAGAAGTATTTTAGTGGTGAATCTTTTGAAAATTACTATGTAGAGCTCTATTTTTTGAAATTTCCCAAAGACAAAGTATACTGTGGCAAAACAGAAGTTTAGCATTATACTTGCTGAGAAACAGTAACAAGGACGTTCCTACTGAAATGGTAACTATATTGAACAGTAACTGTCAAGTAGTGGTGATGTCTGTCCCAACGGTTCCAAATGTGCAGTGATACCAGACTGCTTCCTAACCACATGTGACTGTGGACTACAACTGTGGCAGCCAATGTATCAGTCTGCGACCTTAGTTTATTAGCTTCATCATCCGACTAGATGATAATTAGAACCACCTCAGGTTATACCTTTTGTCAATGTCGTTATAGGATTACCAGAAACAAGTTATTTCTGGCAGATATTTGTTACAAGCTATTATAGTCCCATTGAACACTGTAAAATAAATACGATATACTGTATGTAGAATATTTAATAAAACCTCAGATTATACACTAAATAAAAAAAATCAGAAATAGCTACATTCAAAAACTTCATTGTGTCTTTTTTTTTTTAATTTACGAATATTTTCCTAAACTATTACTTTGAAATTGGTTATCGTAAAACAGTACTGTCTATGAACTCTTCACGTATCTGTCAAGATCCTAGGCTTACCAAATGCTAAAAAGATTATTTCAACAAGTATTAAACTACCATCACCTCATGATTTCCCTGCAACTATTCTACTTCTTAGAGATCCAACCAGCTCCTACACAGTCTATAAAACTATAAGCCATCAGATGATAAATATAAAATATAAATTCCCGGTGAAGGTCAGAAGGGGATGCATTCTTTTTTTTCCCCTCCTTTCCAAGTTGTTATTTAGATTCCAGTTAGTTAACAGAGGGTGATGCATTCTTAATTTCAGCCATAAACTTACCTTAAAAAACAAAGGTAGAAGTTGAAGTTGTTCTGTGACAGCTGTAGAGAAGGATCTTCCGGCACTAGCCATCAGCCATTTCAATACTATTTGAAAACACACACACAGAATCAGTCTTTGCTATATAGTCAGAGAGCAAAAAGTAGAATAATATTGTAGTGCTGGTGTCAGAGAGTCACTCTGATAACTCCGGTAACTAACTCTTCAATACTAAGAAAGAGATCATCTACGTTACTTCATAAATTAGACACTCACTAATCAGCATGATGACAGGAACCACAATAACGGGTGTCAACCAACTAGGGTACCAAAGCCACTCTCAAAAATGAATCAGCAAAATTATTAACAACCTACTAAATAGCAGCACCAACTACAAATTAAAACTAGCCTTCATTAATTTTCATGCAGTAAAAGTGATAACAAGTTAGTTGTTTATACTTAGAATGCTTGAAAAAATTTTAAATATAAAAGTAACAAGACACCTCCGATAACCAAGACAATTTTGAAAAAGAACAAAGTTAGAGGATTCACACTTCCAGATTTTAAAACTTACTAGTAACTACAGTATTCAAAATAGTGTGGCACTGACATAAGGACAGACAGACATAAAGACCAGTGGAATAAACTAGAGAGTCTATAAGCCCTCACACATATGGCTAATTTTCAGTAAGAGTGCCATATTCAATAAAGAAATGAGTCTTTTCAACAAATGGTGCCAAGAAACTGGGTACCCATCAGCAAAAGAATGAAGTTGACCCTCACCTTACACCATATACAAAAATTAACTCAGAGTGGATTAAAGATCTAAACTTAAGAACTATAAGTACAAAACTCTTAAAAAAAAACTTAAAGGAAAAACTTCATGACATTGGATTTGGCAATGATTTCTTGGATATGATACCAAAAACAAAGACAACAAAAGGGAAAATAGATAAATTAGACTTCATCAAAATTAAAAACTTTTGTACATCAAAGGATACTAATATTAGACAGTAAAAAGACAAACCACTGAGTGAGAAAATATTTGCAAATCGTATTATGAGATAAGGGGTTGATATCCAGAATATATAAAGATCTCCAACTCAATAACAAAATTAATAACCTAGTCCAAACATGGGCAAAGGACTTGAAGAGACATTTCTCCAAAGATTTAAAAAAAAAAAGGGGGGGGGGAATTAGCAAATAAAAAGATGTTTAACTACTGATCATTAGGGAAACACATCAAAACCACGGGGTTATCTTTTTCACACTCATCTGGATAGTTGTAAGTCACAAAAACAGAAAACAAGCATTGGCATGAGCATGAAAAAAATGCAACCCTCTTGCAGTGCTTGCTGGTAGGAATAGAAAAAGGTGCAGCCAGAAGAAAAGAGCTTGGTTGCTCTTAAAAATTAAGTCAAACATAGAATTACCATATGGTCCAGCAATTCCACTTCCAGTATCTCAAAGAATTGAAAACAGGGACTCAAAACAGATACCCATACAATACTGCTCACAGCAGCATTATTCACAGTAGCCAAAAGGCACAAATAGCCTACATGTCCCTCAACAGATAAATGGATAAATATTGAAAACACTATGCAAAGTTAAAAAAAAAAACAGGCATAAGAGGACAAATAATGTATGATTCCACTTATATGAAGTACCTAGAATAGGCAAATTCAGAGACCGAGTGGAATGGTGGCTGCCAGGGCAACGGGAGGGTGGGAACAAGAATTTACAGATAGGAATACTGGGTGCAGAGCTTCAGTTCTGCAAGATGAAGTAATGGAAATGGACGAAGGCAATGGTTGTACAACAACATGAATGTATTTGATGCCACCAAACTGTAAATTTTATATTATGTATGTTTTACCAAGGTAAAAATGGGGGGGGGGGAGACGACAAAAGGATGATCTAAATAAATGTCTGTTTTGTTCTGTTCCCCCCCACCCCAGTTATAAATTGTCTGTTTTTAAGTGAGTTTCTATTAATTTTAGCCACTCACTAGTTTTCAAGAGTTTAATGCCTTGAGTTCGTTCATCTTCTTCACCAATTCCATTTTCTTCCATAACATGGTTCTGAATTTCTTCATCCACATCCATGAGGGGTTTCAGTTTGTCTAGAATTCGAGCAGTAAACTCAGGGACCCGAGGGGATGCTGTTGGCGCCGTGTTTGGCAAAGAAACATCTATCATAAATATGTAGGTCAGCACACTGTGAAATGAAATATGTATAATGAGAAGAAATCCCACATTATCAATAAAACTAAGGTTCAAAAGCGATGACCCAAGCAAAATAAATATTTGAATGATGACTCCTGTGAGAGAGTCTCTCGTGCTGTGCCTAGAATTTGGAGGCACTGAGAACCAGTCAAATGCTCACCTCTGGCTTATGAGCTCACTGCTGTCCTGTTTTACATGATGGCCTCCTGTCTAGTGTCCCAAACACAATATATAACACAACTTGAAGAGTACCATGGAATTCAATATAACATAACCAGTACTATGAGACACTAAAATTTAATTTAAAAAAAGAACTCAAGAAGTATACCATACCACAGAGAAAATAATACCTACCTCCCTATTCTTTCCCTAACATTTTTGTAAACCTGGGTGAGTTTGGGTTCCAAGTACTTCAGTAGTCTGTGCAATAGCTCCGGCACTCTCCACTCTTGCTGGGCAAGGCCACCTTGCAGCACATAGAGTCGACTAGAATTAAAGCACAGGACAGTTGTGTTAGAGCCTGTCCCTGCCTTTCCATATGACAGTATAGATTAATGGAGTCTAGACTCTACTTCAAATTGTTTCATTTTCTTACCTAATAAATAATAAAAGGGACAATTCAAAACAGCACCTTTATGAAGATTGTATTACTTTTACTGCATCATTTTCTCTGTATTCTCATTTCCTCTCCACTACTACATAATCAAAAGAAATACTGACTTGAGAATATGAATTGATTTCTAAGCATCAGAATATTCCCCATTAAATAGTAATAGCAACAAATTGTTCTTGTTAACAAGATTACCTAGATTTCCTTCTCTAGTCTACTAATTTTTTCCAGCTCCTTATATCCCACACCAAGAGTACTTTTCCTTGAAAGGATTACTCTGTTCTTTCCTAATAAGAAAGACTGAAAAAGGAGAGGATGTGATGAAGAAGTTAGTGTTGTCATGGCATAAAAAAGCGGCCCCCAAAGAAAAGATCTGACAGCGGAGATGGCTGAATCTAAATTTTGTCTGAATTGCTCAGGTTGCCTCCATTTCTACTTCTTCCCAGCTGGAGAAATAACTCTACTTAGTGTCATAAATTGTACTGAACTGGATCATTCATCTCTCACAAGAAAACAGTTACATCATCTAGCCTTTAGGAGTATAGACAGTTCACTTCCATTTACACATCAAGAGCAAAGCTGTTATCTTTTGTTGCAAAATCTTTTGTTAACCTTGTAAGTTTTCTTTTTATTTACCATGCATCTACAAAGGATCCTCCTTCACCACTCAATGGTGATTCCAACAGTAGCTCAAAGAGCCAATGAAGTTTCCGGGGATCTCTGCTTTCCTGTGTTGAAAACATAAAATAACAATAAAAAGAGGGGTCCTACAATTTTCTATATATACCAGATCCTGTTAGTTTAAAAAATTTTCTTTTTAAGTTTATTTATTTGAGAGAGAGAGAGCGAGAGCGAGCATGTACATGAGCAGGGAAAGGGCAGAAAGAGAGAATCCCAAGCAGGCCCTATACTGTCAGCACGGAGCCTGACGCAGGGTTCAAACCCACGAACTGTGAGATCATGACCTAAGCTGAAACCAGTAGGTGGACGCTTAACCAATGAGCCTCCCAGGCGCCCCTGGATCCTATTATTTTAGCAGTATTATAAATAAATACAAGTATGAGGGGAGAAAATCAAACTAAAACTCATAGGTTAGTCAAATCCAAATATAGCTCATGTTAGAAAGACTAATAGTAAGAAAACTGTTCTTAGCTAAATGGATTGTCTTTAAATCAAAGTTTACAAGCTAGGGACATATTTAGTGTGGAAAGTAACATCTATATAACCTTGTATCATCTGGCTTTTACTATATGTAAGTCACATTTCCAGATATATGATACAATTTGCCATTTAATCTAAGAATGCATTACCATGACAAAGAAGATGTAATTAATAATCACTTAAGAATTATCACTCAAGGTTTATGTGAAAGGCTAAACAGCCATCTTTAATTATGTTAGATGACAAAAACGTGAAGAAAAATTTCAAGACTCAGGAGATATAATGAGATTTCACAGGTTTTAAGAAAGGGCATGAAATAGTTTGAATAGATCAGTTAGACACAAAAAGAAGCAGCACTTACACAGGATGTCGCTATACAAGTTCCCCAGTCATTGTAAGTTTCTACTGTAATGTTGGACAGTGCTGTTCTAAGCAGAGGGCAAAGAAGCTCCCAAAGCTTCTCCACCTACTCAAAACGAAATACATGGAGAAAAGTTAATGACATACTCAGAACATTTCTTTTCAACCATCTTTCCCTACCTAGAAATACACACAGATACATGATCTGATACTTATTTGAATTATTTCTTAGAACACCCACATAATCCAGGAAAAGTAACTTCACCATGTTATCATCATAAATACCCTTGTATAAAAGTGAACTATTCAGAAAAGAGGAGACACCTTTTATGGTTCCTTACAATATCTCATACTACTGAAAAGCTTCCTTTTAAAAATCTTGAGTAACATAGTACACTGGACTGAAACAAAACCTCTTTTTTCTAAGTTTTGTATACTTATCGAGGTCACTTGATTAAGTCCTAATATGAGAAGCAACGACTTTTTAATACAATTCAGTATTAGCCTGAAGTATAATCTTCAAGTTCCAAGTTTTAGATTACTATAAAAAGCCTTTTAAAAGTGCTCTTATACAGAGACTGCAAATACATGTGTATAGATGCTTCTCACAGGTTACTGAGAATACAAATCACCTTGAGATCTTGATAAAATGCAGATTCTGATTCATTAGATCAAGGTGAGACCTGAGATCCTACTTTTCTAACAAGCTCCAGAGTGATGCCCATGCTGCAGGTCCAGGGACTGCACTTTAGTCAAAAGGACCTACATAGGACAAATGGGGAGGGAGGGATTGGGATAAAATTTCCAGTGGTAGCATCAGGCGTTGAGGTGGCGGTGGGAGGGTGGGGAAAGCTGTACCATGAACAACTAATAAGGAAAGGAGATGTGCTCTGGAAAAGAGGTAACTACAAAATGACAGAGACAGGATGACAAGGATATGTATGACATGTTTAAATAAAACTGTTTCATGATATGTGAACAAGAAAAAGGCAATATTACAAATTCCAAAAAGTATGCATAATTAAGTCTGCCAAAACCAGCAGCTGCATCTCTTCCTTGAGGAAATGGTGGCCTGCCTTGTATTTTCGCATTCTGGATATTTTCAATCTAGTCCATCTTGCTAAGAAACTAACCTTAGGGTAGGTGTGTAAAACTAAATCTATCAATTAAAAAGAGAGATACTTAAAAAAAGGATGTCAGACTCAGACTGTAAGACTAAACGAGTGATGCAGATGAGCAAGAAGGCTAAGAGAAAGGATTTTTAAAAAAATGTTTATTTATTACTCTTGAGAGAGAGGAAGTATGTGTGTGCCAATGTGCACTCGCAAGCCGGGGAGAGGCAGAGAGAGAAGGAGAGAATCTGAAGCAGACTACTCCACGCTCTCAGTGCAGAGCCCAATGTGGGCCTGGATCCAACAACCCTGGGATCATGACCTGAGCTGAAATCATGTTGGACACTTAACTGACTGAGCTGCCCAGGAGCCCCTAAGAGAAAGGATTTAATGAGAAGCTAGAGAACGCCTCATGAGGGGAGAAGCCCATGCCCGGCACACATGAGGCAATGCAATAATGTAAGACCAGTATCAGGATCTTCCCATTTCTCAAGAGTAATTGAAATCTTTTTTTTAGGGTTCTTCTCCTAGTGATGGCAAATAATTCAAATTCCAAAAGATAATGAATGTTGCCTTTACACCACTAGTTTGTGATCTACACTCAAAAGCAATATGGAATTTGAACACTTCATATTTTCAGTATTAATACTTACTGTGTTGGGAACTACTACATAAGTGGGTATTATAGCTTTAACAGGGAATGTGCTGCACAAATACATCACCTTTTCAAATGTCCAATGCTTAGAACCTCTGATTAAACCAGCTATAATTTCTGCAACACATCGCTGGGTGCTTTCATGTGAATCTGCAACCAAACGTTCTAAATGGGGCTTCAGAATTGGCAGAAACGCATCATCAAAATTTCTGAATATGCCCTATAAAAACAACAACAACAAAAAGTTCTTCAGTGTTCAAATGACTCCATTATAATGATAATATGCTTGTGTTTATTTACATTACTACTGTGGTTATAAAACCCCAAGTGTTCTTCCCTTTAGAAATGTTTTAACAATCGCTTCTCAGCCTTTTGGCTAAGATCAAGTGTAGAAATGCTTTACCAATGTCTATAAATTAAAATAAAAACTGTTACTTTACATATCACATTAAAATATAATGAATGAAATCAAAATTACTAACCTTTCTGACCTTAAAAGTATCACACACCTCAAAAAACTCAAATGAACATTAAATGCATATAGTCTTGTGGGTTTCTCCTTAGGCTGCTAATTACAAATATTAGAGATAAATATTAAAGGCTTTTCTTAAAAACTCCTAGACTTTAAGCTAAGATCAATATGACTGGGGTAACTTCCAGAGCCATTTTAGATGAAGATGGCAGATGGCCAAACTCAATTGTGACTTTAAAACTTATGAAACAACAAACTGATAGTCACTAAGCTTTATGAAGAAGGATATTAAATAACACATTTACCTTAAAGAGGCAAAAACGGCGAGGATTAAACTTATCTTTTCCTTTTCTGTCTTCTAAAGATAGAAAAGTAATTAACTGTTCAACAAATTTAGGATCAGAAAAATGATCAAATATAATCTGTTCAGCCTATAAAGTTAAAAAAAAACACAAAACAACATTCAGGGTTTAAGATCTATTTAAAAACAGGATTCTGAAACATCAAAATTCAATTGTAAAGTTTTAATTATCAACAGTAGGCTGTTATTTTTGTTGTAGAGTTTTTACTTCTCATAGAGGCTTTCTACAACCAAAATAATATCATCAGCTAGAAATGCTAAATCCGTAATAGTTTACTTTTCCTTCAGACCTTCAAGTTTGAATTCCATAATCAGGCTGCTTGTGAAATGAAGACAGAGCTATTGTGCCTTCTGGTGTATAATTTAGGAAAACCCCCCAAACTATAAACCAGACCCCAACAAATTATTTCCATTATTTATAAAACATCACAAGTTAAAAGGTAAACTTTATTGAATTATAAAATAAAAGCTAGGGGCACCTGCCTGGCTCAGTCAGTAAAGCCTGGGACTCTTGATCTCAGGATCATGAGTTCAAACGTCACATTAAACACAGTGCTTACTTTAAAAAAAAAAAAAAAAAAAAAAAAAAGCGCTACATCATTAACTTACTTGAGAAACACATTAACTTACAAGTCTTTAATCAACTTTCAAAATGGTGGAGAAATAAGCTTTATGAAAACAAAGGGGTTTCAACTTAAATCTGCAAACATCTAATTACTGAGTATCCAGCATTTATCTGCAATAAAAACTTAAAAGCCAAACAAATAAACAAAAACCCACCTAAAAACCAGGCATTATCTTTGCCCTCAAGAAGCTTCTTACCACAGAACTGATACAAGCAACTTGCAGATAACTATATAAAGCAGTACCCAGGTAAAGTGGAGGTAGTAACATGAGAGTAACCTTTAAATACAAAGACTTTTGCCAATAGGCCCTAACAGAATGGGGAGTACATGTTTACCAGTGTTTACCTAGTGATAGCCTGAAATACACTGAACTCAGTTTGAAAACAAATCAGAAGCCCAAAGTAAGATTCATGTGAACTGGGTAAGTGTTTACACACAGTGAAAATGGAATGCTCACCTCTGTCAAATCTTCCCTGCTTCTGCCCAGCTTAGGCTGCTCTTCCACACCAGCATAAACAACCATATTCCTACACAGTAAGAGTTGATTTTGTAATACATATAGAAAAAATAGTAGAGCTTCATAGAGAGCATTAGAAGGCACTTTTAATGAACTCTAAATCAGATGCTAAGTTTGGCGGTATAAGTACATCGCTAACAATCTTGGCCTTAAAAATCTATCTGGTCACTGTGTGACATTAAGTCCTTGGAGCCAACAATAAGTATTTCTCTGGGCTGGTTCAGGCATATGTAATAGTGATTGGTAAGAATATAATTTAGAGCAGCTATTAACAACTCCTTAGATGCATAAGGGTGGGACTAAGAAGGCTAAGGGTTTCAGTGGAAAGATAAAGAAAAAGGCAGGACTGAGGCATACATAGCATTAGTAGGAGCAAAAGAAAAAGAAGAAGGAAGAAGAAAAAAGAAAGAGATTGTGTGTTTTTGGTGGCATGTACCTCTACCTGCTTTAAGTGCCTCTGAATCTCTCCAAACATCCAAAATGATAAAACAAATTATATCCTAGACAAGCTGTTTAACGATGTACATGGCAAGCTGCCACTTACTGCGGCCAGGTGTAGTATCCCCAGTGAGTTTTTTCCACAAAGCAGCTTGACTCCCATTCTTTTTTGGTTCTCGGTATACTTTTGCTATCATAATGCAACCAATGATTATCAGGCCTATCACCAGCAAGAATTTGGGTAGGTTTAGAATATCCACCTTGAGGAAGAGACAATTACATCTGATAAACTTAAAAATAAAATAAAATGAATAAAAATGCATGCAATAATGATTCTCAACTTTTAATCAATAGTACTAGTGTGACTCTGTCTTCATAACAAGATTATCAAACTTCGCTCAAGGCAAGACCACATATATAGGAGGCATTACTCATTAATGGGATAATTATGGGGGGGGTAGAGGATTAAGTATGATACATACTTCAGCCCTTTTACCAAAATTTAAAGGATTAATTTTGTTAAAACCTTTTAGATTTGAATTATTTTCATGCTTAAAGAGCTCAAAGAATCCCCATATATTCTTCACCCAGATGCCCCAAATTGTAACATTTTACCGTGTGTAGTTTGACATTCTTTCTATACATGCACATTTTTTGGAACCATTAAATATTCATTTACTATGGGACCTACAAACGTGTGTCAAATGAGGATAAAACAAGGTTAGTAGTAGGGAGTGTAATGGAAGTCTTTCCCACATTTAGTAAACACCACTTTACAGTGTTCCCCCAAAAAGATGGTGGTGCATAAATACACTCTCCTCCCAAAGATGGGGTGGGAGAGGACTAAAGACAGCTGTCCGAATGTCACAGAAGCCAGAGGAGTAGAAATGACATCTTTCTTTCCAAAACCAAGTTAATTCATTATTTTTTCTGCGCACCATTCTCATTAGATTACTATTCAGAAAATCTGATAATATAGTAAGGAATAAAGAAAAAAATTAACCTTGCCTCTAATCCTACCACCCACAGAGAAACACTTAACATAGTGATACATTAATGATAATGGTATTTGGTAATTAATGTTATTTTAAGTCTGTGAAACACAGTTTGATAAATAACTAGTATATTGCTTGGTTGGTTAGAAAAATAAGTAGATAACATGTTTGTGGACAGTATGCAAAAGGTACATGTTATTATGAAGATACAGACTCCATCTATTTTTTTAAGGTGTATTTATTTCTTTTTGTAGTAATCTTTACACCCAAGGTGGGGCTCGAACTCATAACCCCAAGATCAAGAGTCATATGTTCTTCCTACTGAGGCAGCCAGGTGCCCGAGAATCCATCTATTTTTTTTTTTTAAAGCTTATTTATTTATTTTGAGAGAGAGAGACAGCATATTAATTACATTTGGTAGTACTTACCCATTTCATAAGGATTGATGGTCAGCTTTTTGTGGGTTCTTTTGAGCTGCTTAAGAATACCAGCCACAGCTGAGATTGCCATCTAGAAAAGAAATAGGTAAGGTACATGTATCAACATTTTAAAATCTCTTGAATAGTTAGCTGCCTGTCTTGATCAAAGCAGAGGCTGGATTCTGCTTCTTTCAAAAGCAGGTAAATGCCTCATCTGTTGACATCCGGCAGCACAGCCATGTGAGTGCTAAATGTGAGTGGGAATGAGTCACTGAACGTTCTTACTTTCACCTGTGCTAGTCTGCCTAGGAAACTTCCATACTTTCTTTGTTAAACCAATATCTGCTCATACTTCAAATCTTAGCCTAGACATTTCTTCTTGAAGGTCTTTCTCTAATGCACCTGGCTGGGTCAGCCCCATTATATACTCCACCTCTAATACTTTGTGAATAAAACCAAAAAGTTGTATACTCAGGTATCTTTCCCTTCCTGTAAGACTTCATACCTGTCATTAATTTTTCAAAATCAGTATTTCTCATGAATCTATAAATTTGTTCCCTACTATATCCCCAGTGTTGAAATGCACATTGCCTGAACATGTCCTCATATATTTGTTGGATAAAAAATTATCATCCCTGGGGCGCCTGTGTGGCTCAGTCGGTTGAATGTCCAACTTCGGCTCAGGTCATGATCTCACGGTTCGTGAGTTCGAGCCCTGCATCAGGCTCTGTGCTGACAGCTCAGAGCCTGGAGCCTGCTTCTGATTCTGTGTCTCCCTCTCTCTCTGTCTCTCTCCCCCTCAGGCTCTGTCTCTTTCTCTCAAAAATAAACGTTAAAAAAAATTTTTTTTTTACATAATTATCATCCCTGAACCAACAATGATAAATTTCAAATCAATACACTTCAAGGCAAAGTGTCTTGGGAAGA